GGAGAGCATGCTGTTCTGGACTGGACTGGACTCTTCTTCCTTCTTCCGCCCTTTTGAATGCCATTTCCTTGAAGTGCCAAATGCCAAAAGGGCATTGTGCTCGAGGCCCAAAAGAGGGTCACAGTTTAGAGTCTCAAGAGTGACAATTATGACCAGAGACCACCCACAAAGTTGCGAAGGTTCAACAGGTAGGTTTGAACCCAGGTGAGGAGGGTGTGTTTGAGTTTCCACAGGTAGTACCCATTCTTCTTAAAGCCGAGATTAAAATTATTGATTTATTTTTTGGTTTTTCTTTTTTAAATTATAATCCTTCTTAAGAAATACCAAAATATCCTTAAATAGACCATTTAAAAAATATTAAAATTATGAATGAGGATATCTCTGATTAGTTTTCTCAGTGCACTTCCGATATCAGTATCGGCCCAGTTACATGGTCAATCATGGCTAACTGTGACGTAGTTAGTGGCCCATTGCAGCGTTTCTTGTTACCAAGCAGGGGGGGTTACTATTATAAAACCTACATAGCTATACTCTTATCGGTTTCTATAGCCGCGTTACAGATACACACACTTCCTTTTTTTTTTTTGGAAGGCGTTACGCCATCATTGTGTCGTGTCTTGAGCCTAGATGGTGCACCCAAAACTGTTACCACACCACCACCACCACGCAATGTATATACCCCCTTTTTTTCCAGGGGGAGTTCAATAAGAAGAAAGAAGGAAAATTACCTAATTGTGTTGCATCGACAGACCGACCGACGAGACTAAAAAAGGCGACTTTCCACAACATTACTCCACTTCTTGCTTGATGTATTACCCCGCCGACTTGGCCCACCCACCCAGCCAGACCTAGCTCCTCTCTCCCCTCTCTTCCCTCCCCCATATGTGTGCCAAAAGGAAAATGTGCCACAAGACTGCAAATATTTTTGTCTGTCTTTTTGTTTGTTGCTTCGCTTCGTTCGCAACCCCCCCACCACCACCACCACTCTTTTTGCAGTTAGATAATACCGACAACAACAACAACAAGTCTACAACCGTTAAAGCACCCAAGTCGGTGTATTATAGCTCAAGCAAGCAAGACTTCCTATATTTTGAAACACGTTACGTTCGTAACATAATTCACACAACAGGTTACTCAGAGACAGAGAAAGAGATGCAGATACGCCGCTGCCAACGAAAGAGACAGCTGCAAATCGGCAACTTGGAGATAAAGCTCAACAAAAAAACAACAACAACAATTACATGGTAGAGTTTCAGGGGGAGAGGGCGCGCGTAGTTGTTTGTACTAGTATTAGTCGGTGTTTTTAGTGGGTTTTTGGTGCGGGGCATATGGATGCAAAAATATTGGGAAACATAGGGAAATGATGATCGTGAGAAAAGATAACGGGAAATTGTCAAAAGTGCAAGATGAATGGGCATCCAGATAGGTGACGATACAGGATGGAAGATGCAAGTCTAGATAGGTGACGAAAGAGATAAAGAATGGAAGGGGCAAGTCTGGATTTGGATTTTTCATATCTGTCCGGATGAAAGATACAAGTCTACTAATAAATTTTAATATTTTTAATATTTTAAGTAGGCCTCCAGATAGGTGACGATGAAGATACTGGATGGAAGGGGCAAGTCTGGATGTAGATTTTCAATATTTTATAGGATGGAAGATACAAGTCTACTGTTTAATTTTAATATTTTTAACATTTTCATTGACCTCCAGACAGGTGACGATAGAGATACAGTATCCAGGATGCAAGATCAGATTTTAGATTTTTAATATTTTACATGATGAAAGTTACAAGTCAATCACTACATTTTATCTCAATATTTTTAAGATTTTAAGTAGGCCTCCAGATATTTAGGTGACGAAAGAGATTCCATTTTATCTTAAAATTTTAAAAATGTCAAATGCGGATGTGGCTTTATATTAAAATATTAAAAATACAAATAATTTGTTATCCCTCGAGTGATTCAAGCAAATTCTTGAAGAATTACTGGAACAAAAAAATACAATCACTTTCCAAAAATAACAACTCTTTCCAGCACTCTGATATCAGAGACTATTTGTAATTAAAATTTCCCTCTAGTTGCAACATTGCAACATCCTTGATGACAAAGCTTAAAAGTCACAACCCCACAGAGAGGGGGGAGGGGGGGTTAAGGTGGTGTATATGTTACCTCTTTTAATGGCAAATTCGCACGATCGTTGATTGGATTGCTTTTCTCGTTTGCTTTTTGCCCTCTTGCCACACACACACACCATACACACACACACATACATGCAACACTTTCTTTTTAGCGAATTGTGAGACACAACGTAATGGAAGCTGCGCTGCGCTGCGTCGAGTTGCGCTACTGGAAGCATTTATGGAAAATTCAGGTTAGTGTGATTTCGTTGCACTATAAAATGGGTTACAATGGGGATACAATATATAGACCGCACAAGTGGTTCGTATAATTTCTTTGGCATTATACATATATTGTATTGCAACCAACAACAATAGCAACATCTGCTGTTTTCAGAATATATGCTTTATAGCAAATACATACATACATATATACATATGTATAATGTTGCATTCGTGTTGGTTCTTGTATTGAAAGCAAGCCGCTTCCGCATGCAAGTTTAAAAACAACAACTAAGAGTCATCAGAAGCAACAACAACAACAACAAAATATTGCACTCTTCTGCGATAGTGACTCAAGAAAACAAAATAAAACATGCTAGAGAATGTGGAATGGGGAAGAACAAGAAGGGGGCAAGGCAAAAGCAGAGACCACAACAAATGCGTAACTTTATCGGTGGTGAGTGTTTTTCGGGCGACATTCTTGGGGCCTTAACCCTTAAGTAACCCCAATAGATTAAATGAGGTTTCTATGATACGAATGAAAGGCTTAAACAAAAATCAGATAAATCCATTACATTTTGGTACACTGACAAAAAAAAGATGTTTTTTTTTTAGCTGCCGTTTTCTTCCTCTTTTCTGGTTGCCGCCTTTTTTGTTGTTGTTGTCTCGGCAGTGATTTGCACGTGTGCGAGTGAGTCAGTTGCCAAAGGTGTGTGAGTGCAAGAGAATAGGTCGTCCTCTCTCTCTCACTCTCTTGCTGTCTGTCGGTCTGCTGCGATCAACAGTTTTTATACCTGTTATACCTCTACTTCTCCTCCTCCTCCTTGCAACTTGTACACCTTCCCACTTTTTCTTGGCAGTGCTTTTCTGCCTTTTTCCGCTGCCGATTCCCAAGCGATCGTCGCTCTGCCCCTTGCTTCGCTCTCCTTCTCACCTGTGTCGTTTTCTGACCCGCTCTCTTGCTTCCGTGCACTTGCCGTACTCTTTCTATTACGTCGTTTGTCTTTCCCCCCCAGACACACACACACACACACGTAGCTAGAGACAGTCTCACACTTATATTCGCCGTTCCCCCCATTACGTTGTTGGGAGCAATGCGGAAGTGAATTTAATTTATTGTATTTACGCTGCCGCTGCCGCTGTTGCTGTTGCTGTCGCTGGCGCTGCTTTTGCTGCCTTTCTGCTTTTGCCGCCTCTGGTCACCAGGCCAAGTCTCTGGGGGGGTGTATAGAGGCCCTCAAGAGAACGAACCAGGAAAGGAATCCGGCAGCGGGAAACTGCTCAGAAATCACAGTTATGATCAGGAAAATATATAGAAACTATAGGTATTCATCAATAAATTCTTGGTATAGCTATGAATCATCATAGGAACCTAATCACAAAAAATTTTAATCTAAAAAGAATTCTACTGAATATAATTTATAGATGAGATTTCTGCTCTCACCACCGGCACGATCAGGTGTGTTAGTGTGTGTGTGTGTTTGTGTGTGTGTCTACCCCCTAGCCTGAGATACCTTATAGCTGCCGCCAGAAGCAGGAACTGTTTGGCTGATTTGTTCGACGACGACGTCGCTCAGCAAAAAGGCAAATAAATAAACAGAATTCTGCTGGCTGTTTTATATACATACATATACCTATGTATATATATTTTTATATATGTATAAGTGTGTGAGTTTTTTTTTCGCCATAGCGCCTCGGCGATAAGATTTCGCTGACGTGAGCCCAGGCAGAGTCGCCACAGTCACCCTAATTGGAGCTCAACGCTCCGCTTTTGTTTCACTTCGATTCCATAGAAAAGTGCATGCAACAAGAGACTCGTGAACCGAACAGAACCATTCTATAACATATATGTACTATATAGCATGCCGACCGATATACAGTCCAAGACATGCACTGGCCAACACTCGATAATTACCGTTTTTTTTTTTACCGCCTCCTCGAAAGAGAAGTACAAACCAACTACTAACCAGTGGCATGATGCAAGAGGCATTACGGAAGAGGCACCCCAAGTACCGTAATATTAAGTGGAATTTTATCAATAACGTAACGCTATTTTTCAACCCAAATTGATCTTCTATATCGGAGATACTTAAGAGGAACAGTGGAGCGTGAACTAGGATTCTTAAGAAGAAAAAAAAGAGGGTTATAGACCAGTTATGTCTCAGACTTTTTATGAATTTCCGACACTTCCAAGATCACTATTATATTGTAACTGTTTGTATTTAAACAAGCCCCATAAAGATGCCACAATCATAGTACCCCCAAATAAATCAACCTTAGATAAACCGCTGTTACCTCTCCTAATCGCTCCAAATTTGGCCCCAAGATATCTCTCGGCTTACAACCAAATTGTTGACCTCAACTTTGTAAGACGAGAGAGCTGGCTAAGATTGGGGAAGTCATATTTGGTAGATAACCCAAGTAAGATTAAGGTGGAGCAATTATTTATCAGCCACTCAGACAAGACCTTTTTCTGTTTTTTCATGACCATTGTGACGTTGTTATGGGAAATAAACATGTCTAAGAGTACATACGTATAGGTGTTTTAACAATTTCGCCATAAAGTCAAAGTACAGATGATAATTCCCTGATACTACTACAATAATATTTGGCTTCAATTCCTTATCCTTTTTGGTTAGTTTCTGATGGAATATCTTACCTGTTTGCTCCACTGTGCACTGTGGTGACGTACTGGTCGGTGAGTGAGTGAGTGATTTTTTCGATTCTTGATTCTTGAGCTCTTTTTGCGACAGAAGCAACGCGGAAGCGGATATGTCCAGATCCCAGAATTTGCTTTAGCTTTTGCTTCGGTGATTCTCTTGTTGCGTTTTTGTTGTTGCTATCTGCTGGTGACGCGCCAAGTGGCCATTGTTGTTGTTGTTGTTTGTATATTTGCTTTTAGGGGGGGTGCCGAGTGGGTGCTGATGCCAGAGGGCGATGCTTTTGGGGGGCTAATCCTGGCTCTCTGTTTTTGTTTTCGTTTCGTTTTTTGCTGCGACGAATATCAGCCACAAAGCGGAGCAAATAAAAAGTAGAAGAAGATGAAGAAGAGGAAGAACCAAGTCAAAACGTTTCTACTTCCGCCGCTCACAAGCGCACACACACACACGCATACTCGAAACGATTCGCGCGTTGCACTTGCACTCTGGCGTTTTGTTCGCTTATTTGTTGTGTTGTTGTTGGTGTTGTTGCTGTTGCATCTGCATTCAGCGAATTTCCTATTTTGTCTTCCTTTTTTTTCTCACTTTTGCTTACACTTGGCCGACGTCGCTTTTTGTTGTTTCTGGCTTCTTGTTTATTTCTTATTTCCGTTTCGCGCACACACACACACACGCACAAACAATCGCATTAACGAAACACGCCGCAGAACGAACCGTTATTCCTCTCCACCGCACACGAATTAAATTCTATTAATTGTGAATTAATCAATTTAAATCATATTTGTTTGCATTTGCACGATGAAGCGTTGCTGTTTGTTTGCTATTTGTCTTGTTTCTCGGCTTGGCTTCTTTCTGGAGAGCGCACGTCCGCCTCCCACGACTGTTGTTTTCGGTATGATTTCAGAAAGAGACTCAAAGCGGCCGATACGGACGCCGTTTCTCATCTAGCGCATGCGTTGCACAGTGGGATAGATCCTTTAAATAGTTTTCAAAACTAACAAAAGTGGTTTTTGTTGAAAAGTTTTGTTTGTTTATAAGTGTCGGTATTTTTAAATACGTTTTAAATTTTTAAATATTTTAAACTTAGGTTACATGTTGATAAAAATAAAAAGTTTAATGTTATGAGATTTTAATATTGTAAGTTTAAAATATTTTTTTTTTAAATTTTACAATTTTACTATGTCAATATTACACAAATATATATTATTTATTTTATAAGTTATTGATCTTTTAACGATCTTAAAAAGTTCATATTTTCTTTAGCACTTTATGTTCCACTGTACACCTCTCTTGCGAGAGAGAACTCGTCGTCTTGCCGAGAGCGAAGAGCCAGAGAGCGAAGAATACGAAGCTTGTAATACGAACACTTGGAAATTTTCGAGGAAAAGAAAAAATGGCTTAAGGAAGTCGAGCTTTGATCCGTTTTTCTGAACCAAAATACACTGATATTATTTCAGTTATAGTTATTAAAATATAAAAAAAATAAAGGTCCTTTCGAATTCAGTTAAGCAATTTCCTTAATAAGATCAAGGTATTATTTGGATCATATTATTTGAAAAAAGTAAACAAATACCAAAAATTAAAATTCCTTACCTTTAATTTCCTAAAATAAATTCCCAAACCTCTTGAACTTTGATTTAGTTAGAATTTCACAAGAAATCAAAGAAACGAAATGAAATTATGTCATAAAGTTGGCGATTTATTTCCGAAAAAACCGTAATTAACAAAGGTTTTTATTTTCCTAATGTAAATTCCCCCTCCACCCGAATTCCCACAATTGCGATAATAATCTCGATTATGTTATTATATGGCGTATGTATCCACAGACAACAACAAACAAAAACAAATAATGAAGTGCGTAAACATTGTCAGATTTCTTTCCACTTCCTTGGCAACAAAACAGATACAATACAACAACAACAACAACAATACTAATTCTTCAGGTAATAATTTAAATATTTTAAAATCTACAAACAAGCAGTGGGCGGTGGCGATCGTATTCGCGTGGGGCGCTAGATTTAGTTGTTAATCAATAGAAGATAAAGTTTAAACAAAAGTCTCTACAACATGCTGATAGCGAAGCCATAGGCGTCGGAAAATGGGGATTCCTCGCCAACAATCTTTAATACTGAGCTTTAACTTAATTTTTGAGTAATTAGGGAATTCCACATCACCTATGGCTTATAAAGTATGATTGGGCACATTTTCGGAAGCGATAGTACCCCCGATTATATTATGTTTGGGAATTATTGAGCTTTACTTGAACCTATTATCATGAAGTGACTATACTGATAAGAAATTACCTGGAACTCTAATCAATTTCCGATAATGTTGGGACTATTTTAAATAATTATGTATTTTAGGCCCCCCCCTTTGGTAGCCCCCACACAAAAAATGCGCCTTCATTGTAATACAAAATGGGCTTTTTTGAGGTGCTAGCTGATATGTGTTTTCGATCCCATAAATCTTGGATCCATGAAAACCAGTTGGCAATCTTTAATTATAAATTGTTGCTGGGTCGTTTCCGCTTCGTTGAGACTGGAAATCTCTTCTCAGTTCAGTGGGAAAACCTAAAGCGGGGTAGACCAAAAGTAAAGTGGAGTAGGGACGTTCCTCATCAGGTTGGTCTAAAGATGCGCTCAGTTGCACTGCATCCGCTTTGGGTCGAGTCGCCTCAGTTGGTTAACCAGTTTCTCCCCGGGGGCAGCGTTGACATTTCAAGTCAAATGCCCATAAACGGCCGACCAGCCGTAAGACCCCGCCCACGCCTCCTTGTCCATCGCCTATCAGCCAGTTCCGTAGCGATGCACTTGAAGAAATAAATTTTTCATTTTCATATGTTTTTTATACAATAATCTACCATTTGTTTCAGTGTACTGGCATCGATAGCTTCCAAAGACGATGACGTTGTTTCAAGTGACGATCGTCATCATTATGAGGAAAAACAACAACAACCACGATTGCGACGATCACTGGCCCAAATTAGTAGCTTCGGTCATGGTGCGTCGCCCCAGCGGGAAATAGCTGGTGGCGAAGGTGGAGGCGGGTGCGCAGGCGGAGCAAGAAGAGGAAGAGCCGCCGATGAGGATCGGACGGGGGTCAGAGTTCAAATAGTCGTCCAATTGAGCCAATCAGCCTTTGTACGTCTGTATTTTTTTTTTTTTTGTCATTGCAATGCAACCAGAATACTTCTGGTATGTCACCTTCCACTTGTTATACCCCTCAGGCCCTTATAGTAATCTATAATACTATAAATATAATAAAGTCTTAATAAATAATCTTAAATAATTAATATATATTTTTCTTGTGTATCCGATAGTCACAGCTTTTAGTTTTTAGTTCGATGCCTAAGTGCAGATAATTCATTAAAATAGAATGCCAATGTCCAGAGGCAGCCGCCAAGTGGCATCCACTTGTGCTCTCAAGAATCATCATCAGACACCAAAACACAGATATAGTCGCACTATAATACATACATATGTATATGAACTGCCAGCCAGACAGTCAGCGATTTGATATATGCCCTGCACTATATGGTATATATGGTATAGTCCCAGATCTATAAATAAATCTGGTCATAGCCCCAACAAAGTCGTCTCCCGATGCGGAAGTATTTCCAGACGGCGAATATACGCCTTTTTTTTGCTGTTGCGCCCCCCCCTTTTTTATTTGTTGTTGGTAATTTGCCAATTACTAAAAGGCAAGAGGGGCGTAGATGCCCAGGAGGGGCACGATGGGGTTACCTAAGGTGTGTGTCGGTTGTTGAAACAAGAACAAACCTATATATGTGCATCATCGTGTCTGGAGCGGATATACACATGTATGTTGGGAAAGGGAAAATACTTTCCCAAGTGAATAGCTTTTCCAACGAAGGAAAATGTTTACCAAGTTACTTGTTTTATGATGTTTCTTTTTAACTGGAACTTTAAGATGAAGTCATGGTGTTTATTTTATTTCTTATTTAAATTTTTATTACAAAGCTAATCTATAAGATTAGAAGTCATTAAAATATTTCTATGATTCATTGCTGTTTTCTAATGAATCATCAAAAGGTTCTTAATTTAATCTAATAAAAACAATAATGATTAACTTCTACTTTTTTTAGCCAATTAATTTTTAAGGGAACAATTTACTTGATCCTTTTCAGATTAAAGAGGATGTACCGGAACATACAACTTTCCCACCCCCTCATCGGATCCCAGGACGATCGCCTACGTAACCACCCACATAATAAGTACATATTTCGTAATTTGTAAGGATCAGTCAGGAAGAGGCAGTGGCAGATCCTTTTCGTTACAGTTTTTCCCCTAACTGATCTGAATTGAATTGTGTCCCTCTTCGATTTCAACCGAAAAGGATATTACGCAGAGATCCTGTGTAGTAGTCCTCTCGACCTGAATTCGAGCCTTTGGCCTAATTGTTACACATTCCCCTTCGACAACAATGGGTAATTGTAAGATTTTTGCCGCCAATACACGCATTAAGGATCTCCCTGCCTGGTGTTGTCCTTTAACAGTTGGTCCCGACAAATCCGTGTCTGCAGGATATGAAATGTGCACCCAGCTACCCAACAAAAAAAAAAACAAAAAAAAAAGAAAGAAGAAACCGTGGGAAACCTGCTGGAGTTATTAAGGAAGAGAGTGTCAAGAACAAAGGACGAGAACGGAATCGAGTGGTCGGAGGACCATTGGAGGAGTACCGAGATGGAACGCTCAAATATCGATCTTCTCGACGGCAAGTCGTTGGCGACGTTTTCTGGTCAGGATTATGGCAGCCCAGAATCGTTCCAATTTAGCGCCCAAACGAAACGCAGCCAAGCAAAACCACCGCATCGGATAAGGACATAAAAATGATCGAATTGGATATTACCTAGGTGTAGTTTTATAGGTAACCTAGATCTTACCAAGATATAAATAGTTTTTTTTTTAAATTTTTCCAGTAAAGTTTTCTATAATATTTTTAACATAATATTATATATAGGAATAATTATACCAATTAAAATTAAAAAGGTGATATATTTCTTAAGGTAAATATCTAAATAAGGAAATATGTATCTATCAAGATGCGGTTTCTTAACCATTCTTTAAAAATTGTTTTTTGGTTTTTAATTGAATAAAAAAATGTTTACTTAGTAATTATATAACTTTTAATTAGTACCAATTTGTGTTAAAAATAAAGGTATAATTTTTAAATCCCAACTACTATTCGTTAGTTTAAAAACCATTGTTCTATTGAGGATATCTTTCATAATTATGAAAATTTTCAAACCTTTGTTTTTTTGGTTCTTTATTAAATAAATTTGTACTATTTTATTTTAAAGCTTTTCGATAAATTCATTTATTCCAAACGATGTATAATGCATAACTCTATCTATAAGTATTATATATAACTTAGGTTACAAACGCTCGGATATCCTAATATACCCAGATTTGTATCTTAACCTAATGGGCCTGAAATCCCAAGTGTGCACTTAAGGGATGAAAAAAGTGATCACAGATCGAAGAGCAATTCCACAAGTGTTGTTGGCAGGTTGCACACTCTCCTACTTTTCATTGTATTGGTGTATCTATGTGTGTGCGTGTCGAGAGCACCTTACCGCAAGAACGCAGTGCAAATGATGGTGAAAGGTTTCAGGTTTCAGGTTCCCCGATGGATGTCGATTTACTATCTATACACCTAAAAAAATACCTATAAAGAGGGTTTCGAAAAACTTTTTTAGGATACTAGAAAATACATTTTTAGCCAACATATTTCTTCTTATTTAAACAAAGAATCATATTTTTTTAATAATTAATCCTTAAAAAAAAATTAAAATCCGTTTGTTGTTATATATTACAGATGGTAATTCAGCTGGTTCCGTGATCGATGGTTTTTGGGGTGAATTTGAGGCT